CACATCGGGCTCCCCGCTCGGCGGGAAGCCTGCTTCTCCCTCTCCCACTCCCCCTGCTTGTGTTCTCTCTCTTGCTGTGTCTTTCTCTGTCAAATAAATAAATAAAATCTTTTAAAAAAAAAACATGGTCCCCTTATGAAGGCTAAAGTTGTATTATGTCTCTTTTCTTGACTAAAGGGTATTTGTATAAGGAGCTGTGGCTTGCCACTGTGTTCATAAAAATTAAGGTCTTCTGGAGAGCCTTGGGGGCTACCACCAGGGATGGAGGGGCGGTATAGCCAGCAGAATCAAGTGTTCTGTCCCCAGTGTGAAAGTTTGATTCTCAGCTTGTATAATATCTCACAGATAGATGGATGAATATATAGTACTTCGAGATACAACTATCAACTGGGCTGAGCAACAAGTTTGAGGTTGTATTCCTTGTCAAGTTCAAGTCTGGGATACCAGTGAATAAGGAAACCAGATAGGCTGATAGGAAACTTAGCATTACTGTGTGGAAGTTAAGATAATTCTAAGAATCTGTTTTCGGTGGATGAACTTCTTATCAGTACACAGATGAACGGTGGGAGTCCCTAAGTGCAAAGACAAGGCTTTGATCAAAAACATCAGAAGAGAAAATAAACCTGGAGTGGAATTTTCTGGCAAGAAAATGAAGAGCACATAGAATTAAGAATTGTGGTGAAAAAAAAATGATTGCTGTTAAGAGATTGAGACCCAGAATGCAAGTAATTTTCACTTTACATGCTAACAGGAATGTGGTATGGATTTGGAAACAGTGAGTTGTGAAAGATAATGAGTTTTTATCTAGTGTTTCCAAAAAAATGTCATGATTCGCCAGTGGCGGAAGCTTGAGCATGTAGGACATGACTGCCAGCAAATATGCACTATGCACTAGTGGTTCCTATGGCAGACTTCTTCTCTTTCAGGTTTGAGTCCAAATGCTTTGTCATTTCCTCAGTGAGGGCTTCCAGTAGAACCTTACTTAAAGTATGCCTGCCTCTAGCTTTTCTTTGTTATCATTAATTTTGATTATTTTATTCATACCTTTTACTAAAATTACTAAATATATTAAAGTAATTTTGTCTATTTGTTTGCTTGCCTGTTCACTGCCTACCTCCTCTCCATGAGGAAAGATAGCATGTCAGTCCTTTTCTCTTAGATCTCTGACACCAGCTGGACAGCAGGAGTTTAGCAGTATTTCTTGAATGAAAGAATAAATGAAGGAAAGAGAGCTGCATATTTACCAACACTGTTTCAAGTGTTACCATGGTGTCCCTTGCTTTGACCAATTCTATTATTTCTCATGAAACTTGAATGAAACCTTGTCAGGTGTATTCTCTCACAAGCTGCTATTAGTTAAAGTAGGGTCTCAAAAGTCACAGGGAGATTTTCCCCCAAGATGTTCTCTCACTTCTAGAAAGCCGTCATCATCTTTATTGCTGTTTATGTCCTTTGATGTCTTGTGTGACTCAAAACACCATGTATGATTTCTGCATCATTAATACAATGGACCATTTACCTCCATATTCTGCTTTTTATATGACTGGCATTAAATTTGTTGGTGATTATGAAGGGATGACTCTTAACTTGGGAATAATTTATAGTAGTATTTTGGGAAGAGCTTACTTCATAACCTGGGACTTCTTTATAAGACACAGAAAATTACCATTTTAAAGGAAAAACATCAAGCATTACTATTCCTAATGCTGTTCTATACAAGGTTTTAACAAGACTGAAAGTCCTATAATATGTCTGTATGATGAACTGAAGTTTTCATTAATGCATGAGTTACAGATCTGGTAGTAAAAGGTGATTGCAGAGATAAGATTTAAAAAACTAATTCCCAATTATAATTCTGATTGTTTTAGGATGGACATTATATACTAGCAATCTAAATAGCACTATCTTACCTCTTTTTTTTTTAAAGATTTTATTTATTTATTTGAGACAGAGAGAATGAGAGACAGAGAGCATGAGAGGGAGGAGGGTCAGAGGGAGAAGCAGACTCCCTGCCGAGCAGGGAGCCCGATGCGGGACTCGATCCGGGGACTCCAGGATCATGACCTGAGCCGAAGGCAGTCGCTTAACCAACTGAGCCACCCAGGCGCCCTACCTCTTAATTAGATAAGACTGCAGGTTTATATTGGCTATAGAAATGGGTAGTAATATCAAGGATAGAACCTATCCACATATTAGGCAGCACTCTTAAAGTAGACAGGAAATACATAATATTAACTGACACTCTTGTAACATTTTCTATTAATAGGATCTTTTCCAAGCACTTGATAAACTTAACATACATAATCCTTCAAGAGTTCTGTGAGGGGCTGCCTGGGTGGCTCCGTTGGTTAAGTGTCTGGTTGGTTAAGCATCTGACTTTGGCTCAGGTCGTGATCTCATGGTCATGGGATCAAGCCCCACTTTGGGCTCCGCACTCAGCGGGAGACTGTTTCTTTTCCTCTGGTCCTCCCCCTGCTTGTGCGCTCGCTCACCTGCGCGCACTCTCTCCCCATAAATAAATAATATCAAAAAAAAAAACAGTTCTGGGAGGAAACTGTTGGTATTTTAATAGAGAAGGAAACCAAGGTACATGGAGGAGCTATGCCCAGAGTCACAGCCATTAACTGAAAGATCTGGAATTCACACCCAGGCATTCTGTTAACAGTGTATATGCTCTTTAACCCTGGGATATACAAGTCACTGGAGCTTATTTGAATATTTTAATGTTATTTTTATTCACAAAGGTTTTAAAACATAGGGCCAAGCTAGAACTTGACAACTGAGGGTTCTAGAGGAGAGGGGGGTGGGAGGATGGGTTAGCCTGGTGATGGGTATTAAAGAGGGCACATTCTGCATGGAGCACTGAGTGTTATACGCAAACAATGAATCATGGAACACTACATCAAAAACTAATGATGTAATGTGATTAACATAACATAATAATAATAATAATAAAAAGTCAGTAATTATTCAGCCCCATCCATCTAATAGGGTTGACAGGAGAGAACTTCATTAAATTGGATCATTGTTTCAGTGTTACCCAAGCAGGTTGTGGGAATTAAATGTATCCAGATATTCGTTCTTTGAAAATGGTAAAGTATTGTTATCTCTGCCTGCTGACTTTATTATATGCTATAGCTGGCTATCTTAAAACCATACATCCATGGTTTTTGATATGCTTTAAATACTTCGTAATGCACAACATTAATAATTTAAGGAAACTATATGATTATCTCAAAAGATAACAGTTACAATTTAATAAAATTTATTCAGGGTAAAATTTTTTAGTAAACTGGGATGAGAATATTTTTATCTGAATGATTATGGCAAAACTGATAGCATTTTGACTGAGATGGGGAATACAAGGAAGATGACTATTATCACTACCCCTCTTCATCATGATACTAGAAGTACTAATCAGTGCAATAGGCTGAAAAAAAAAATGAAATTATAGAATTGGAAAGAGAATAGCAAACATCTTTATTTGTGGATTGTAGCATTGTATTCCTGTAAAAACAAAATAATCTTCAAAAAACAACCTGAGTTTAAAAGCCTTAGCAAGGTTTCTGGACTTAAAAAAATCAGTATAGTAAAATTAGGTAGTGACTTGAGCGAAAATTGCAGATTAGGCCCTTCCATAAATCCTCTTCTCCATAAAAGCAATGAGAACATGGAAAACATTCTCAGCATCAAATTTTTTTCCAAACTCTGGAAATTAAGCAAAGGTCTTCAGCAATCCAGGTAGTGTTTATTGAAAAACAATGACTAGACTTTTGGTTTTGGCTCAGGTCATGATCTCAGGGTCACAAGATCGAGTTCCGCGTCAGGTTCCATGCTCAGCATGGAGTCTGCTTGAGATTCTCTCTCTCCCTCTCACTCTGCCCGCTCATGTGTGTGCACGCTCTCTCTCTCTCTCTCTCAAATAAATAAATCTTAAAAAAAAAACAGTGACTGAATCTTGTTAAGTATAATGACCCGGGGCACCTGGGTGGCTCAGCCGTTAAGCATCTGCCTTCGGCTCAGGTCATGGTTCCAGGATCCTGGGATCAAGCCCCGCATCGGGCTCTCTGCTCGGCAGGAAGCCTACTTCTCCCTCTCCCACTCCCCCTGCTTGTGTTCCCTCTCTCGCTGTGTCTCTCTCTGTCAAATAAATAAATAAAATTAAAAAAAAAAAGTATAATGACCCTCCACTCCTTTTTCTGAGGTAACTCTTAAAACCAGCAACCTGGGGACAGGAGTAAGCTTGGAGCTCCATCCAAGCCCCATTCCCAGAAAGTTGTCATTATTTTCCCTGTCTGGTTGGTCCACGGAAGATCTTACTCTTAATACTGTCTTTATTTGACCTGATTGAGAGTTCACATAGTATTAACAGCCTTTTATGGGGATGAGTCTTGAAAACAATAAAAGGCAAATACTTAACATTGCAGTTGCCTATAGTAGAAGCTAAAAGTTGAAGTAAACAATAGGCTAATCCAAAAGCTTGAAAGTAAAATCCAAGTAACAAGATGTATATGCAATGCTTTGAAAAGCTACAGTATCTTTCTCAGAGTCCAAAAGGCCATGCACATGCATAGAGCTTTGTACATACCCAGAATTGTACATAGTGTAGGAAAGCCCTAAGAATATTCTAGTCTCTAACCTCAGGCTGAGCTTAAGGTTTTGCCAATACAGGAAGTGAAGATAAGAGTTATACAGTACCTTGCTGAACTTTGGTATCACCAACCTGCACACACAGCCCCTTAGGAAAGATTGCAGATTTCTTGGTTCCAGGAATTTAAGCAAATTTCTGTCTAATCATTAGGTGGCCTGTAAGATGCTGAAGAGAGACTTCAGTGGCCACATGTGGCAAAGACTATCAGCTGTCTTGAATTCAGAAAAGTCGCTAAACACACAAAATAATAACAGGCAAAAAAACAAACTTTGGGGAGGGAGTACAGTCTAATCTCCAGAATTGCCACATTATATTAGTTTAAATGCCCAGTTTAAGAAGAAAAATACTAGTACTTGCTTTGGCAGCACATACACTAAAATTGGAATGATAAAGAGAACATTGGCATGGCCCCTGTGCAAGGATAACCTGCAGATTTGCGAAGCATTCCATAAAACAGAAACTAGATGTGGAAAAAAAATTAATGGCCCATCTCTAGGAAGAAAAAATAAAAGCCAACAATTTTCTCTAGAGTCCATATCTTGGACTTAATGGAAAAAGTTTAAATCAGCCAGTTCAACTATGTTTAAAGAACTAAAGGAAAATATGAGCATGTGTCTCACCAAAAGAGAATATTAAAGAAGAGATAGAAATCACATGAAAATGGATAAAATTTAGAATTTCTGGAGTGGAAAAAAAATGTAAGAATATTAAATATCAGGTTCTGTGTGTAAGGAGCTTGGAAGTCACCATTCTGTCCTAACATCCGGTGAGAAAAAAATGAACAGACTTAAAAATGAACAGTTCTCCTAGGATCCATAAAAGAGATCAGGACACAAGGAAGACTATAATTCTCAAGATCAAAGAAACATAGACAAATACTGGGAGTCAAAGATCACCAGAGTAGAGACTCATGAGTGGAAACTATCACATGAACAAGTACAGGGGTAGGAAAAGTTGACTTGTAATTGTTAGAGGCTCATTGTGACACCCTACCCTCCAAATTTTGTGGGATTTACCTCCAGGAGCTTTACCAGTTTCATACAATAAACATCACAGAAAATTGCCTTCCTGCTTTTGGCAGGGGGATGGAAAAGTAACTCTTTTGATATTTGCCAGAGACACATTGTTCTTTTTAACAATGCCTGCCCTCAAGAGAAACTATTTAACCAGAGCCTGACTGACCTGAAGGAAGAGAAATACCTAGTCAGTCCCAGACTTGCATATGAGAGAAAGGAAATACTCAACTCCAGCCTCCTAGAGCCATCCTGCCCTACCTAAGGAAGGCTACATACTATATAATTTCAACTACATGACATTCTGTAAATGGCAAAACTATGAAGACAATAAAAACTTCAGTGGTTGCCAGGGGTTGGGATGAATACACAGAGCACAGAGGATTTTTAGGGCAGTGAAAATACTCTGTATGATACTAAAATGATGGACACACATCATTATACATTTGTCAAAACTCGTAGAGTGTCCAACAGCAAGAGTGAACATTAAGATAAACCATGGACTTTGGGTGATAATGGTCTGTTAATATAGGTTCATTACTTGAAAACAAATGTACCACTCTGGTGAGGGATTTGATAATGGGAGAGTCTATACATGTGTAGGGGCAGGAGGGACATAAGAAGTATCTGTATATTACACTCAATTTTCCTGTGAACCTAAAACTTTTTTTTAAATGTCTTAAAAATACTAACTGTAGATATCAACAGGTTTTTTGAGTGGGCAGAAGAAATTATTAGCCATCTTGAAAATAGATCAATTGAGATAATCCAGTCTGAACAACAGAAAGAAAAAAGAATGAAGAAAATTGAAATGAGTCTCAGAAACCTCTGAGACACCCTCAGGTGTATTGAGATATGCACAGTGGACATTCCAAAAGAAGAGATGAAGAAAAGTTCAACAAACAATATTGAAAGACATAATGGCTGAAATATTTTCAAATATGAAAACACTAATCTGTACATCCAAGAAACTCAACAAATTCCAAGTAAGATAAACCGAAAGAGATGCGTACGTGGACACATCTTAAGAACAGCTAGAGAGAAGCTCTCACATAACCTCACATACAAAGGTCCTCAATCTGATTAAAAGCTATTTACTCATCAAAAGCCATGGTGGTCAGAAGGCAGTGGGATAACATACTAAGAATGGTGATGGAAAAGAAAAAAAGTCAACCAAGAGTTCTATATCCAACAGAACTACACATCAAAAAAGTGGGAGAAATTATTACATTGACAGATAAACACCTAGAGAATTCATGGCTAGTAGATCAGCCCTACAAAATATAGGAGGTTCCCCAGGATGAAATGAAAGGGAAATTAGACCATAACCTGCAAGAAGGAAGAGTGGTGGTTGATGAAACATAAATGACAGTATAAGGATTTTGAGAAAATCCTACACAAAATAATAGAAAAGTGAAGGAAGCAACGTATTAAAAGGAATTATAGACCATGTTCAAGTAGAATTTATTCCAGGAATGCAAAGTTGGTTCAAAATATGAGAACCAATGATCTAATTTACCTTATTAATAGAGATTCAGAAAACACATGCCAAAACAAATGCCAACAAAGCATTTGACAAAATCCAACTTTTCATGATTAAAAAATATACTCAGCAAACTGGGGATAGAAAGTGTATTACCTTTCTATAGCTGCTGGACCAAATTATTATAACATTAGTCACTTTTATAATACGATTTTTTCTCTTTAAAGATTTTATTTATTTGACAGAGAAATAGCGAGAGCAGGAACACAAGCAGGGGGAGTAGGAGAGAGAGAAATAGGCTTCCCGTGGAGCAGGGAGCCCGATGCAGACCTCAATCCCAGGACCCTGGGATCATGACCTGAGCTGAAGGCAGACGCGTAACGACTGAGCCACCCAGGCACCCAATACAATTTTTTTTCTTACTTTACAGTTTCATGTCCAAAATGAGCCAAAATGAGCCTCACTGGAATAAAGGTAACAGTTGGGCTGCATTCATTTCTGGAGGCTCTAGGGGAGAATCTCTTTTCCAGACCTAAGTAATTGGAAAGATACCCCATAATCATGAATTGGAAGACTTAATCATTTTAAGATGGTAATATCCCCAGAATGCATCTACTGATTCAACACATTTTCTACCAAAACTCTAGCTGTCTTTTTTGTTGTTGCAGGAATTGAAAAGTGAATCCTAAGTATCATACGGAAATTCAAGTGATGCAGTATAAGCAAAACAATGTTGAAAAAGAGTAGCAAAGTTGTAAGATTGATTTTCCATTTTCAGAAGTTACCACAGAGTTGGAGTAATCAAGACTATTACACTGTTATGAGGATAGACATATAATGGAATAGAATTGAGAGTTCAGAAGTAAACTCATAAATTCATAATTGATTTTTTTTTAATCAGAGTTCCAAGATTTTGTGGGGGGAAATAATATTTTCAACAAATTTGGTGGAAAGACAACTAGATATGAAACTGAGATGCCACTCCCACCATTTACAAAAATTAATGAACAAATACCATATGATTTCACTCATATGGAATTTAAGAAACAAAAGAGGTGAACATAGGGGAAGGGAAGGAAAAATAAAAGATGAAAATTGAGAGGGAGGCAAACCATAAGAAATGCTGAACTCTAGGAAACAAACTGAGAGTTGCTGGTGGGGAGGTGGGTGGAGGAAAGGGGTATTTGGTTGATGGGCATTAAGGAGGGCTCTTGATATAATGAGCACTAGGTGTTATGCAACAGATGAATCACTAAATTCTACTTCTGATACTAATAAAAAAATAATGAGGTCAATAATATACCAATACAAAATAAGTTTAATTTTCTCCCCATTAAAATGACAGTTTCTTAGATTATTGGTCTGCTTTTAATAAGAGATTATAAAAGGTTTTTCTTTACCTTTTGTATTATCTGCCAAGGAAATATTCTATGCCTTATCAAAATAAAAAAAATTAAAAATGGATAAAAAACTTAAGTGAAGAACTGAAATGATATTTTTATAAGAAAACAAAGACCCAGATCTTCCTTATGCTGGATTAGGCAATGGTTTCTTAAATGTGACCCCCAAACCACAAAGAGCCAAAGAAAAAGTAGATAAATTAACTATGCTGAAATAGAAGACATTTTTGATTCAAAGTAAGCTATCGAGAAAAGTGAACATAGAAACCACAGAATGGGAGATAATAGTAAATTGTATATTTGATCAGAGTCTAGGATCTAGAATTCATAAACAAGTCTTAGAACTTAATAATACAAAGGAAATTAACCCAATCAAAAATGGGAGGATGCTTTGATTAAATATTTTTCTAAAGAAGATATAAAAAGAGCCAATAAGCACATGAAAAGATCCTCAGGATCATTAACTCTTAGGGAAATGCAAATCAAAATAAGAGAGACCACTTCACACCCACTACAATAGGTAGAAAAAAATATGCACATTAGTAAATTTGGTGTGGATATGGAGAAATTGGAACCCTCATAAATTGCTGGTAGGGATGTAAAATGGTGCAACTCCTGTAGAAACTGCTTTGGTCATTCCTCAAAAAGTTCATTGTAGGGTTACAATATGGCTCAGCATTTCATTCCTAGGTACTGAAAATAATTGAAAGCACAAAATAATTGTACATGAATGTTAATGGCATTGTTGCTCATAATAGCCAGAAACTGGAAACCATCCATATGTTGGTAAATGGTTAGACAAAATGGTATATCCGTACAGTGAAAGATTCCATCATAAAAAGTGAAGAAATACTGGTACATGCTACAATATGGATGAATCTTTAAAACATGCTAAGTGAAAGAAGCCAAACACTGAAGTATACGTATAATTTCAATTATAAGATATCCATAATAGAGAAATTTATGGAGGCAGAAATTAGGTTAATGGTTTCCAGGGGTTGTGGATGGCCATGGGAAGTGAATGTCAATGGGCATGTGGTTTCTTTTTGAAGTGATCAAAATGTTCTGGAATTGTATAATGCTGACAGTTGCTCAAGTTTGTGAATATACTAAAAATCACTCATTGTACACTTGAAAGGGGTAAATTTAATGGTATGTGAATTATAGCTCTATAAAAATTGAAAATATATTAATGAATATTTAGAAAGTGAAATTTCTAAGAAAGGAGTCATTTACAACAGCATCAGAATCAAGTACCTACAGGAGAATCAAACAAAAGATGTATACAACCATCACAGAGGAAATAATAGAACTTTATGGAGAGATAAAAGAATAAAAAAAAAAAAGGAAAAACCTCCCTTGTTCATGAATTGGAATGTTCAGTATTAAAAAGGTGAAAATTCCCTGAAAACTGACTGTAAAACAATCAAAATAAAAATCACAACAGGTGTTTTGTTTTATTATGTTTTGCTTTGCAATTCAGCTAGCCAATTCTAAAATTTATAGCAAGCTGTAAATGGCTTAGGAAAGCAAAGACATTCTTGAAGTGAAACAAAAAGG